AAATACTAAATATTTAGATGGCACAAAATTTAGTGTTGAATAGAAACCTTAAAACTAAATTTTATATTTAGGTTGATGTTATATTTATAAACTTGTGTATATACTTAATTCAATCTATATTGAAAATTAAATTACTATAAAACTTTTAGGTTCCACTTCCACTGCGTAACAATGAGCCTGATCCTTTGAGTCAATCTGTTACTGTCAACACAAGAGTTGCAATTGATTTAGTTCAACAAATGTGGAATAGTCCATGTGCAGGTAACAAATTAAAGATATAATTGTGAAGTCAATATTGAACTAAACATTTTTTTTTAATATATAGATAAGGATGAAGAGTCAAAATTGATTTCAAAAGATCAAAAACCAATTTCATTTGATGCATTTGAAGAAGTTGATAATAATGTCAAGCCTTTTCCTTCAGATTTTATGGTTTATGAAGATAACAATACACCGGCTGATGACAAAGTCTTTAAAATACAACAAAAAGAGATGGTTAAAAATGCAGAGAATTTTTATGTTTACACAGATGAAGATGATCAAGTAAAATCTCATAACGAACCTTCTACATTTGTTGAAAATAAAGATAAAAATAAAGTAGAAAATAATGAATTTCAAGTTTACATTGATAAAAATGATGAAAATAATGGAGAAGTTTTTAAAGTACCAGACGTATATGTTGATAATGATGAAAATGTATTCAGTAAAAAAACTTCTAAAATAAATCAATTCATGAGTAAAACAGATAGTAGTATCAAAAGTAGTTCAAAAATAGAATTGAAAAATGATGAAAACTTTAAACTGCCTATTAAAGTTCCAAATTATAATGTCTATGAAGATGAAAGTTATGATTCCAAAAATACTGAAAAACAAATTAACAAAACTAAAGATAATTCTATTAATCCAAGTAGTGAAGGCAAGTCTCCTCTCAAAAAGATTGAAAGTGTAAGTTAGTTTTAAATTTTGCATACCAAAATATTCATTATGTTAAGTTTTATCAATTACTTTTCTTAAATTAAAATCTAAGAAAAATAATTTTTTTAGAACTAAAACTTGATAATTTTTTGAAGTTAATATTGGGGCTTAAAACGCATCATTAGTATTATAGCTATAACTATTTTGTATATACCAAGTGTTTTTGTATTGTTTTATTTTTAAAACTTTTTTCAGAAATGAATGCATCAATTATCATTATGTCTTTTTCTTATTAAATAATTCCACCCACTTGTTAATTGATTAATGAATTTGATACATTTTAATATTATTAACCAGGTGTCAGTAGATAAAAATTTTCTGGTAATTTTCTTAAATGAAATCAAAAAATTTGTATCTTAATTATTTGTTTTAATTATCCCACCTTTATTTAATGGAAAAAACTAAGTCCATGTGCACCAATAAGTGTTTATTTGTATTAATGTTTCGAACTACAATTTTTTAAGACATAATAATGCATTATTCATACATTTTTAGTGCTCTAATAGTTTAATAGGTATTTTAAAATTATTTAAAATTGCATTAAATTGAGGAATAATT